CACACAACTTTTCTATAAAAAAAAGGAAGAAGAAGAAGAAAGGCTCATATAAATTTAACACCTTGATACCATTCTGTTCCAATAAGACATCAGTCCAAATAATTAAAGACCAATGCGAGAAATTTATTGGATGCTTCATATACGGATTGGATGATTTTGGGTCAATCCTATGAAAGCAGCGAAGTATCGGCAGGAGAAGCAGCACTGCCATAGCTTTTGCGCCTGCTCCAGCTCCTACCTTAGACTTGCTTACAGGTTGGCTACCAGCAGACTAGTTTGATCGCACCTCTGTGGAGCCTTGACCCAGGAACCTTCTAAAACTAGCTAAACTAGCTACTGGCTTCTCGCCGCGTCCGACAAAAGAAGGAAAGAAAGAGCTAGGGAGATAGAGGTGCGGCAGCATTTTCGGCTGAGATTTATTAGGATGAGCTGTCATGAATCAAACAAGAATTAATTGGATAAGTTCCCTCACGTAAATTTCAAATAAGTCATGAATGGTTGTGAACAAATCCTTATCGGCAGTCAAAAGTTTCTGGAGCGTGAGTGAGAGCCATCTGATCATCAAATCCCGTCCCCTGTTCGGGACGAGGAGTGCTATATATAGATGTGCATTTTGATTGGAGAACCCAACACATTGGGCTTTAGCTTGCAAAGTAAAATTAAACTATAAGTCAAGAAAGTTCAAATTAATGGCTACCATAAAATGTTTCTTCATCCTTCTTTCTTGCTTCTTTTCAATTTCAAATGGAAGGGTCCCCCCAGCTGAGTTTCCAGTTAAAGCTGTAAATCTTGGAGGTTGGCTGGTCACAGAAGGCTGGATCAAACCATCCCTTTTCGACGGCATTCATAACAAAGATCTCTTGGTATATACATATGAAGTTGTTAGTTATTATTTTTGCCTACCTTTTGTCTATGTCGATTGATCATGCTCTCCACATACCTAGGAGTTGTTCATGCGAGCTGAATTTTCCTTGTCCTAAATGATTCTTAGGATGGAACCGGGATCCAATTCAAGTCAGCAAAGTCTGGAAAATATCTTTCGGCGGAAACATTTAAAATAGGCGGAAGTGCCAAAATCGTTGCCAAGAAAACATCTGCTGCTGAATGGGAAACATTTAAAGTACGTAACCATGCACCGGTACCTTCTAATGAGCTTCATAATTTGATAAACAATTTTTTGGCAATATATGCTGACATTCAACGTGGCGTTTTTTCCTGGACACTGTGAAAAGTTGTGGAGAGTCGATTCGAGCAATTATAGTTTTCGGGCTGCCAACACTCAATTCGTGGCACTTGGCTTGGACGGCAAGCAATTTCAATCACTAATAACCGTGGCAAAAGATCCAACTATTCGGGAGACGTTCGAGATTATCAGAAAAGCTGATGATTTAAACCGTGTCCGAATTAAAGGACTAAATGGATTTTTCTGGCAGGTTTGTGTTGGAAATTTTCTTTTTCTATCAAGAGAATAGGTCAATCATAGATCCATAGCTAGTTTACATTATTTACAATCCTTCTTTTGCCTCCCCCTTTTTTGTTGTTGAATTATGCATTTTAAGTAGTACAAGAACTTCATAGAAGCATGCATTTTTGTTTGTTGCTTGCAATTATCACTTTCCTAACCTGGCCATAGCAGTCAAGGCTATTCTTCTAATTAAATCACAATTGAAGCAGCAAGTCTTTTGGTTATTCATAGCTCTCGTCATCATTTTCTTGGAAACTAAGATGTGCATGAGAGTGAAAGGATTATTATTATTTTTTTTTTTTTTTTACCATTTTAGTGTTTTGGACTTTGAAGGATTATTATTATTTTTTTTTAAATATGTTACTCTTGCTGGACACATATATACACCATTAACTCAATGTTTTCTTTTTCTTGAGGACCTAACTCATTGATTTTCGATTCATTTGGTTAAAAGAAATTAGCTCGCCATTGCATTTAACCTGTTAATTGCTCTTTAGTTTGACATAAAATAAAAAGAAATTACTTGAGTTTGGTTAGACTTAAACACCAATAAAGCAATCCTGCGTTTGTGGAACTTTTTTGCATGATCATGCATGAACAAGAATCAGCATTGCTAATTCAATCTTATAAAATTTGTAGGTAAAATCAGAGGGGGTTGTTACTGCTGATTGGGATCGATTCAATACTACATGGGAAGACGATGATCCCTCAGTTTTCTTGATCACAACTGTGGGAGGATACCAGGGTGAATACCAAGTGACCAACGGATATGGTCCACTCACAGCACCACAAGTGATGAAGGTAAGTTTGGAAAATCCCATCAAAATTCAAGAGTTTTCAGATTTTCCCAGCTTCTCATTAATTTGTTATCATATTACATTTAATTTCATTGTTTAAAATTAATACGATAAAAATCCACGTCTCGCTTTCTTTATCACCCAGACACATTCACAAATTTCATGTGTTACAGGAACACTGGAATACATATATCGTGGAGAATGACTTCAAATTCATAGCAGAGAATGGATTGAATGCTGTGAGAATCCCAGTTGGGTGGTGGATAGCCGGTGACCCCAACCCCCCTAAGCCTTTTGTTGGTGGATCCTTGCAGGCCTTAGACAACGCCTTCTTGTGGGCTCAGTGCGTATACTTTCTTTTTCTTTGTTTCGTTCTTCTACATGGCATAATTGAAGACAAACTCAATTCTTTAGGATCTAGAGAAACGAAAACATCATGCACATTTACTGTATTTCTTCACATAATAAGATTATAATGTGCTTTCTAAGAATGAAGAACTTCAAGAGAAGTTTTTGGCATTTAAAAACCTATATTTATCTAGAGTGATTTGGGAGGAACGTTACTTGCAGGAAATATGGCCTTAAGGTTATAATTGACCTACATGCTGCACCGGGTTCACAGAATGGTATGGAACACAGTGCCACCAGAGATGGGTCTCTAGAATGGGGGCTGACTGATGAAAGCATTCAACAAACAGTAGCCGTCATCGACTTCCTAGCGGCCAGGCAAACCCCGACCTAAATAATTTTGCCAATTTTTTCATAAATTTATGTTGCTGGTGTTGTCCCTCATTTTTTTTCTCAACACAATCTTGTATAGGTATGCAAAGAACCCAAGCCTGTTAGCAGTTGAACTGCTGAATGAGCCTCTTGCACCGGGTGTTGCTTTGGACACCCTCACCCGCTACTATAGGGATGCTTATGATGCTGTCCGGAAGCACTCATCCACTGCTTATGTAATTCTGTCCAACCGACTTGGCCCTGCTGATCACTCTGAGTTGTTTGCCCTCGCCAGCGTGCTCACCAAACCAGTTATTGACGTCCATTACTACAATCTCTTCTCTACCATCTTCACTAATATGACTGTTCAACAACACATCGATTATGTCAAAACCAATCGGACTGCTGAATTGGCCAGTATCACATCACCAAATGGACCTAAAATCTTTGTGGGTACGTAAGCAACTACTAGTAATAATTTTTAGCACCGTGAAATTTGCTTAAAAGAATATATTAATCTTTTCTACTGACTGACAGTGTATACACTATACACTATCAGATCAGAAGTAAATGCGCGTCTCTCATGTGCAAATCTGCTGGTGTATTCTCTTTAGATATACCAAACATTATTATACCTAAAAGAATTTACCAAAATTGCAGGATAAAAATTACAACTGAATTGATATTTTCAATTTTTACTTGTTTGACTTTTAGGTGAATGGGTAGCTGAATGGGATGTCAAGGGTGCAACAAGACAGGATTACCAAGCATTTGCGAGAGCCCAATTGCATGCATTTGAGAAAGCAACATTTGGGTGGGCTTATTGGACTCTCAAGAACGCGAAAGAACACTGGAGTTTGGAATGGATGATCAACAATGGCTACCTCAAGGCTTGAGCTGGTTGAGCAGCTATGTGGCTACTGCTAACCCGTTTTTGTCTTATTTTATGTATTGGTGGCAGTACCTGCCTAAAAGCGTAAATTACATCTTGAATAATTTTATCTGGAAAGAAAAGCAATAAAGAAATAGATACGTGATTGTAATTATTTACGTGAATAAAGAAAAAGAATTGTGACCCTTTCCAAGTTGTTTCATTGACTTCTCATGTTCTCTTTCAATTTTACAATGGATTTCCACAATTAAATAAAATTCTTTTTCCATCTGATAACAAATGGAGATAATTGGCACCAGATAATTTATATTCTAAAATAAATCCAAAAAGTAAGAATCAAGGGGAAAAAAATGCTTTTTACCTGCCCCGTTTAAAGATTAGAAGAAAATTTTAAAAAAATGCTTTATAGATGCCTCGTTTTTAGCTAATACTTTTGCAAGGGAGACGAAGGGAAAGAGGAAGAGGAATTTAAAAAAGAAAGAGATGCCCCTAGGAAATTTCTGTGTGAACTGAAGCAAAGGAAGAGAATCGATGCTTGAAATCCCAACTTTGACCTACCATTCATGCACTTGACCAGGTCAAGCACCTGCCTGTCACGTCCGACAAAAGTGGTAGCATCCAGTTGACTAGGGAAATCACCAGCTAATCGCCTCCGACAAAATTTTTGAAATAATAATAGGTTTGTTTGGATTGCTTCATATTTTCCCAATTTTATTTGCTTACATCATCTTTACAATTTCTAATACATTTTTTTATCTTCTCAATATCTTTTTATCTCACATACATCACATCACAAAAAGTGCTACAGTAAAAATATCTCAAATAATCCCAAATAACTTACAATCCAAACAGACATTATTGAGTTCATAATTCATGATAAAAGAGTCAAAGTTTTGTCTTTTATTTTTTTAAGTTACTAGAAACTGAGCAATCCTGAGTTGTGTACAAAGAAGAGTACTTTTGAGTTTAAAACCCTACTCTTCTTACATTGATTAATAATGCTTACCAAAAACCTAAAATGCCTTTTTATCACATAGAAGTATTTCTTTTTGAACAAAAACATTGCATATATGTATCAAGAAACTTTCTAAGCATACTTGTTCAAGAGGAAAAAGAAAAAATGTCAAACAAAGCTCTTAGATCCTTCTACTGAAGAGCAGCAGAAGTCTCGTATGAATGTAGTACTAGTACATAGTACCCAGCGTAGAGTGGACAAAAATTTGGCAGAAAATTTGAAGTCCGCTCTCTCGGACAACCCACGGAGGTGGGAAACCTGGAAAAGCCGCGTACCAATTTGGAACTTGGAACCTTTTTTTTATTGACTTGGTTACTGGTCTTACACGGATGTATTGGGATTTTGCTGTATAAAATCTTGCCAACTTTTTGCTTGTTCTTCAGAAAATGGTGAACAATCTTGAAATGAAGAAACTAGTTGCCATCTCTTGCTTGTCATGGCTATTCTTGGTTTCTTGTAGCGCTGTTGCAGGCCAAGATGTGCCATTCAAAGCAGCAAATTTAGGTGGTTGGCTGGTAGCTGAGGGATGGATGACTCCAGACCTCTTTGATGGCATTCCCAATAAAGACCTCCTGGTACACTACACCAATTTAATTTCTCTCCATAAACTCTGCCTTTGGTGACTTGTCAAATTGTTACAAATCAAAATAACTTCCCTTTTATGGTATGAAACTGGTGGCAGTAATATCAAAATAAATTCTTGGACAATTTCAAGTTTCTATACAGTAATGTCTTATGGAACATTAATTACACATTGGAATTGCATGATTCTTACGTTCATCTAGGATGGAACACAAGTGCAACTGAAGTCGACAATGCTCAACAAGTATCTGACAGCAGAGAACGGTGGTGGATCAAATTTAGTTGCTAACCGCGATAGTGCCTCCGGCTGGGAAACTTTTTGGGTGGGTAGTTCTATGACGTCCCCTGATCGTCTATTATGAAGAACTTCTGGTGTTAACTCTGCGTATATACACTTCATTCGTGCTGAAATATGCCCTTTTTTTTATTCTGTTTCTTATACTTCTATGCACATGCAGTTATGGAGGATTAATGAGAATACCTTCAACCTCAGGGTGTTCAATAAGCAGTTTGTGGGACTGGACAATCAAGGGCAGGGAAAGAATATAAATGCAATATCTACTACACCTGGAAATGCTGAAACGTTTCAGATTGTAAGGAAACAAGATGATCCATCCAGAATACGGCTTAGAGCCTCGAACGGGCTCTTTGTTCAGGTATATTTTGCTCTTTATTCTGAAACGGTGCTACTAGCTTTTTTCTCAGTCAGAAGTAACATATCATTTGCAGATTGTTCATAAAAAGGAAAAGGTACCTGCCATACGATTTTCAAATCAGCCGAGAAGGGAAATTGATTTATCTGATTCTGGTTCGAAAAATGGATGTAACCCAACTTATTTTTACCATATAGGACCCTGAAATGGACTAGTTAGAGACATATATGATTGGAATGTATTAACTAGCAACATTATGCAAGCCAATGCAAGCCAAAGTGGTTTTACTGAGTTTTTCTGACTTCTATTTGGCAATTTGCCTTGTGAAAGGCTCCCAGTGGATCCTCAGTGGTGGCAGATTATGGAGACACTTCAGATTGGGGGGATCAAAATCCATCTGTTTTCCAATTGAATATTGTCAACACATTAAGGGGCGAATACCAACTTACAAACGGATATGGGCGGGATAAAGCTCCTCAAGTGTTGAAGGTAAAACTAGTAACACACCTAATCTAATTTAATGGGGATTTGGCCATATATATCAACTGACGAAGAAATCATTTGCACTAAAAAAAAAAAAATTCAAACTGCAGGATCACTGGAATAATTACATTGTGGAAGACGATTTCAAGTTTATGTCCGATAATGGTCTGAATGCTGTTAGAATTCCAGTTGGGTGGTGGATCCAGTATGATCAGACACCACCAGCACCATTTGTTGGAGGTTCCTTACAAGCGTTAGACAATGCTTTCTCATGGGCACAGTAAGCAGCTTTAGAAGAAAATCACGCTTAAACATTGTTCATTTGACTTGAGTATATGGAGCGAACAATGAAATCTTAGTACACAAAAACTCAGAACTGAATGCTGAACAGTTAACATGTTGTATAGGTACTATTTGTCATTAATCCACTCATTACTGATTTTTCCGGGTAACTATTGTCACAGGAAGTACAATATGAAGGTGATAGTGGACCTCCATGCGGTTCTAGGATCACAAAATGGGAATGAGCATAGTGGAACTAGAGATGGATTTGCAGAATGGGGAGATACTTATGTACAGAGAACTGTGGATGTCATAGACTTCCTGGCGAAAAGGTTATCCAAAGAATTCCCCTTTCACATCATATTAATTTCATCATTCTAAAATTTTCATGGAAAAATGTTCTCTGCATCTGCACAGACCACAGTATCCAAGATCTAGATGCCCTTTTTGTAGCCGAATTTTAATCCACTAAGGGAGGAATATGGACTTGCATTTCTAGCTGATACATTAGTTTCCTCTACTTCCTGTTATAAAATCTGAATCTCAGACATGGTTCTTGATGCATCAAAAGCATTTAAACCAAGTTTCAATCCATGCTAATATGGTACAGTAACGTAATAGTATCAGGTATCCAGAGATCCCTAGTTCCTCAAGGTGTGACCTTCGAGAAATGTTTTATGTCTATGACCTGTTGCTTGATAGATGCTTGTATTTTCAGGTATGCTAATCGTCCAAGTCTTGGAGCGATAGAGTTAATGAACGAACCTAATGCAGCAATTGTCCAATTTTCTGCTTTAAGCGACTACTACAAGAAAGGTTATGACGCTGTAAGGAAGTATACTTCCACAGCTTATGTCATATTGTCAGCTAGATTGGGAGATGCTTCCGACAAGGAGTTCCTTTCTCTTGCTGGTGGCCTTGATCGCTCCGTCATAGACGTTCATTACTATAACCTCTTTTCAGACCAGTTCAACAACATGGATGAACAACAGAATATTGATTATATTCGCAATGATAGGGCTGCACAACTGCAGGAAGTGACTCAAAGCAATGGTCGTCCTTTAAGCTTTGTTGGTAAGTCATATTACCACAGCCAATACTCCACTTCAAAGATGTTGCCATGAGAAATGGATTGATGGTTTTGGTCTTCCAAATTTCTGCTCTGCTTTAGTAAGGTGTGGGATTGAAAAGATGGTTTGAACTCCCAAGTTTTGGATATTGCATCAAGATGTCACTTAATTTGACAACATAAATAGGGAGTATGTTGAAAAAGTATGACATAACAAAACTACTCGAGAATTACATGATTTTTTTGACAACCGCAAGGTTCAAATTTCTTACCTTTCTTGTGTGAATCACAAATTTCAGAGTTTCTAGTGAACTAGACTTTGATATTTAACCGAAACCTGCAGGGGAATGGACAGCAGCAATGGCAAAAGACAATCAGGACATGGAAGCCTACAGGAGATATGCACAAGCTCAGCTAGATGTTTATGGAAAAGCTACATTTGGGTGGGCTTACTGGTCATACAAATGCGAACCCTGTGGGATGTGGAGCCTTCAACGCATGATTCTAAGAGGCCTTATTAAACTGTAATACCGTTGAAGATGATCCCTTGGCTCCAATCCACCCAAGCCCCTGGAGCCTAATATACTCTTGCCCATATTTATGTTCGCTTTAAATTTTGTCAAAGCAGAAGGCCCAATAACTATATACACACATTCACGTCGCTAAATGTATGTGGATGGTTACTTTAAGAGAGATTTGCAGTTCAAATGTTTAATATCCGATTCATGGACCATCGGCCCACATACTAAATTTTTCTGGGGGAAGGGCAACCACTGTAGCTTGATACGGGTCCTTCGAGCGTCGCTCATGCGCTGCACTGCAGCACCCCAGCTCTGTTAAAAAAAAAAAAAAAAAAAGAATTGCAGTTTTGATCTCAAATGTTTGGGATATGAATGCCTTTAATCCTTTTAAGTTTGGATGAAAGCAAATGTAATTTTAAATGTTTAAATTTCTGTACACATTCAGTTCTAATGACTGATTTTTTTTCCAATTATTACTGGAATCAAATCACATGCAAATAACTAATTTTTTTAAAAAATTAAAATTTGATAAAATATTGTTAGTCATAATCTATAATAAAAAATGATTAATTACTCACATGCTAATTACATATGTAATTAATATTTAACCTAATTTTGTATGTCAACTAATTTTTCGTATTTCTAGGCTAAATACTAATTACCCACGTGATAGGCATGCGAGTAGACATGTCAATTGGTACGGTTTGAATTGGATCCCTTTGATCCAAATCAAGATCTATTAAATTTAAGTTGGACCCAAACCCAAACTCTTATGGGTCTACAAAAATAAGTCCAAACTCAAACCCTTTTAGATTTGGGTACCCAATAGCTACCCGTTGTATTTTTCTAAATACACTAAAGTAAACATGTACTAAAAATATATATATTTCAAAAAATGTAAACACCATCCAATTTTTATTTTCCAATAACAAAATTAATATTTAAGAAGTTGAATGCAATATTATGAACTCAAAAAACAACTATTATCGATTGTTTCAATTTATTTTTAAAACTTCAACTGTATTTATGTCCAATCATTCATTTATTTGCCTTTACTTTTTCTCCTTTTTTCTGAAAAAGTTTGTACTAATTATACTGACAACTAGAATTAACTTGAAAAAAGAAAACAATCATGAAGTCTTGCTCTATTTGATCCAATGACCATAGAATATTATGATATTTTATAAATTTACTAATTTATATATATTAATTATGTATACATGGGTCTACGTAGGGTTTAGTATGGATTTAGATTTGGATATGAACCATAGAAAATCAAATCATACCCAGGTCCATAACTCTTTTATAGGGTTTGAATCTAGATAAAGTTTGAATTTGAGAAATTAAATCTAAACCCTATCCAAGTACATTGGGTCTAGGTTTGATCTGAATAAGACTCGATCTATTGACATATCTACATGCGAGTCATCAGTCCTTATTTACAACAAATTATGGCTAATAATTATTTTTCATTTTTTATTTTTTAAAAAAATTAATTGATGTCACATAATAGCATATGATATAATTCTGGTAATAATTGGCAAAAATCAACCAATAGGACTAAATGTGCTGAGTGATTGAAACAGTTGGAACTACATTTGCTTTGATTAAACTTAAAAAACTAGAAGCACCCATACCTCAAATATTTTGAATCAAAACTACAATTCTCTCTTATTTAAATGTGTCAACATCTTTTTTTCCTTTATCTTTGCAGATTGGAATATCTCACATCAATTAAGACAATAAATAATGTTCTCTTTCAAAATTATCGTAAAAAATTACTTGTCGCAAGTATTTAAAGAATATTATGTCTAGCATTGTTTTAAAAAGTCTCCTGAAAAGTTTTTTTTTTCAGTAAGAAAGGGATGGAATTTAAAAAACAAGGAGAGGTAGGGAAATTTGAAGCTCAATAGATATCTATTGCTTTACACAATAGATATTTAAGCTCAACTAGTTATAGCCCAATATGGGTCTTTGCTTAAAAAAAGGAAGAAAGAGTGACATCCTACGAGTTTAATGATATTGTCTTATTGAGTTTGTAGTGAATTTTATCATTGAGGACTCAAAAAGCCACTTTGCATCCCACATATTTTTGTTATCTAGACGAATATGCACTCATATTTATTTATACTCGATTCTGACTACAAAATAGGAGAAATTAACTAATTCTTTGGTCTCAAAATGATGCTCAATACGGTGATTTTTTTCCCTTAATTTCTTGTAAAGCTTTAAAAAAAACAATTATTCAACAATCCAATTTTACCTAAAAACTTTCCTCTCATAAATTCTTAAGGACACTACTCTAGATGCTTCAAATAAAGTTGACTTTCAATATTATCCTCTTTGGTTATTCTTAAATTTCACACTTCTACTAAAGTTGACTTTCAATAATATACTCTTATTTTTCTTCTTTCTCTCCCTCTTCCATAGTAATGGGAAACCTAGTACACGTAGCTATCCCCGGTATCTGTCGAAAGAAATTTATTCCACAAGCTTGTTTCTCAAATTACTTATTTCTAGAAATAATAGACTTTTAAATAAGATAAGATATATGTCGGCAAAATGGGAAAATAAAATTTTGCGATGCGTCGGCAAATTAATAAAGATGACGCAATTTTTGTCTGCTTATTATTAAGGGCAACAATCTCACTGAGGTACATTCAATATAGAAATCGGCGTTTGTTCTAAATAAATATATATATATATATATATATATATATATATATATATAAATGTACAAGTGAAAAAAAGTGTACCATGATTTATTTTTAGAGAAATTTGAATCGATCGAGTTAATTTAATTTTGGATGAATACGAAGAGGTAATATGAAATCAAGCAATTTTGATGAATCAGAACTAATTAATTATATTGTTGTTAGCTAGCCATGAGGATTATTAGAGTATGTGATTAAATTAGAGAATCTAGATTGCAAATGTCTTTTGATAGCTATAACAGAAATGTTATCGTACATGTAAATTTTCATTTATAATTGGGTGAAGTTAGGGAAATAAATTTCTACCATGAATTTTCTTGCAGCTAAAATGCTAGAAAAGATATATTTATAAGATACAAAATTTGAATAAATGAGTAAGTATATTTAATTTTTTTTCTCTAACATGATGCCAATCTTTAGTTATACAACATACGTATGAGCTCCGAAAGTCGAATGAATTGTTGCACAAAATTTTACATTTCAATTTGGAGGCTTTAAATGCATATCTATTATATTTAACAACTCTTTGTTTTTGACTCTATATTTCGAATTCTAAGGGGATTTCAAATACATGAGCTCAAAATTATATTCGTCAGGTCCTACCTGTATTTCAATTAAACCACGCTTTCACCAGCGACCATGCACTTGAGCTCCGCTACCGCTCTCACTAGGCTCCGTCTCCAATTTTTCCACCTCTTCCTCTCTTCATTTTATACCCGACTTTGGCTTTCCTACACATCTGTCGCTTCTCCCCTTCCCTGCAAAATCCTAAATTCATAATTCAGAGCTATCCCTCCAGCCATTTCTCTCTCCTTCTTTCATTTTCAGATCCTCGTTTTTTATTTATTGCAAAAAAAAAAAAAAAGAAATTGACTAAAAGACTATAAGGAGAAAGGTAGAGACGAGGGGCAATTGCGTGCATCACATAGAAATACAGGATGATGGACGACGACAGGTTGTAACTAAATTTACTTTTCTTTCTTTATTTGTTGATAGTATGATTTGTGGCTTGTTTTCGTAGTTCTTTTCTTGTTTTTCTTTAATTCAACTCATTGGAAAAACAAGAAAGATTAGATGAAGACAATCAATTAGGGGTGCATTGTCCATTTAAAAGAAGAAGAAGAAGAAGAAGAAGAAAAGAGACATAGTAGCCATTTTGCACTAGATTATGAATTGTCTATTTTCCTGACATGTAAAAACTCCAAAACACGATCAACCTAGAAATTGCCCCCATCTTGAGATGATGGTGAAGCGTTTTCGGTGGTGGTAATTTGGTTCTTCATAGGAAGCAAAAGGGTTGTTAAGAGCAATGAGGGAAAAGAGAGTCTGTTGATGGAAGCAGGCGGTAATTGTCACAAATTGTGAATGACAAATGCAGGGGGAAAAAAAAAGGAAGAAGAAGAAGGGGGAAGTGGAGGACAAGGAGACTTGACATTGCAAAATAAAGGTGGTAATTAAGATGATGCGAATGCATAATAAAATACATTTGGCCTTCGACCAAGTCTTGAGCAACGTGACCATCTAATATGATTGCTTTAATTTACATGTCAATTGGGAAACTAATTTAGTGTATTTAGTGCAGGTGGCCAACAGGTTTCCAAAATTTGTTTAGATAGGAAAGTGATTTTGTAAATGTAGTTAAATTTAAAAATTCAAAACAGGAATGCAGTAATCTTTTTTTTTTTTTTGAAAACTTTGAGCATAGTCTTCGATTTTGTTCTTGCATGCCTCTATTATATCGAATTCTAGTTCCCTTCCACAGTATCCTTGTATGGAATTACGATAATCACAGCACGCACTCGCACAATATAGAACAGGTGAAGTTCTTATATATCGAGCCATTGACCATATCTTTAATGGTGTAAATGTTTAGATTAGACAAATGTCTAACCTTTTGGAAATTTTAGAATCGTGTTTGCCATATGGAAAATCTTCCTTTAAAATGAAAACAACATATTCGTGTATTTTCATTTTCTTATATTTTATAATAATTTGTAAAAGACGTATCTTCTCCATAGTTATTTCATTCGTATGAAGGTTTTTTTTTTTTTTTTTTCAAAGCAAGGGGTACATACATATTCGTTCAGAAAACAATTTGTTTGGTGTTTCAACTTTATCCCTTTTCCCTAATTTTACGAAACTAATATTTGTACTCTAATCTTTTTTTCTTTCAAGTAAATTTGATCTTTTAATGTTGAAACCCCATTTTCTTGTTAAATTTGGTAATTGAAACTAGAGGATTCAATATTATTGCAAATATCAAATTTACTTGCTACTTGCAACTGCACCACCCTCAGTGCTTTCAGATGATTAGATGGTTAACATTCTCCAAGTGACGAGCTCCTGCTAAACAAATCTCTCTTAGACTGTAGAACGAATAGCTTGAGACATGAGGAAAAGTTGAATAACATCAACTATGTATCAAACGTTGTAAAGGAGTTAATTCTTGGAAACTGCATCCATGCAATGCACCCCTCAACGAACAGTCTTGTCTTAATATGTTGCATCCCTTCATAAGAGTCACCAAGCATATATATATATATGGCAGGCATTCTCTCATAAGTTGCATGCATGTTTAGCAGAAACATAGTACTGCTACATTCAAGACAGGTTATTTAACGCAAGTTCTTCGCATCTTTGATCT